GCAGATCGAGTATCTCCTAGCTAAAGGACTCATCCGACCATCCACTTCGCCGTACGGTGCCCCAGTACTCTTCACACCGAAACCGGACGGAAGCCTGCGCATGTGCATCGACTACCGAGCTCTTAACAAGCAGACCATCAAGAATAAATATCCGATACCGCGAATCGATGACCTGCTTGACCAGCTTCGGGGAGCTACGGTATTTTCCAAACTGGATCTGCGGTCCGGATACTGGCAGATACGGATGGCGGACAACTCTATCCACAAAACTGCTTTCCGAACTCGGTACGGATCGTACGAGTATTTGGTCATGCCGTTCGGACTCACCAACGCGCCGGCAACGTTCCAAGCCGAAATGAACCACATTCTACGACCACTTCTGGACGAATGCGTGGTGGTGTACCTGGATGACATACTCATCTACTCGCGCGACATGAAGCAGCACGTCGAACACCTGCGACGCGTCTTCGAAATTCTTCGACGGGAACGATTCTACGTCAAACTGTCCAAGAGCGAATTCGCCCTTGAAAAGGTCCAATTCCTAGGACACCTGGTGAGCGCTCAAGGAGTTCACGTCGACCCCAAGAAAATCGAAGCCGTACGTACGTGGAAGACACCCGAGAACGTGAAGGAGTTGCAGCAGTTCCTAGGCTTCGCTAATTACTACAACAGGTTCGTGCCACAGTATGCAAAACTCGCGGCACCACTCACGAATCTGCTGAAGAAGAACACGTCCTACAAATGGGAGACGAAGCACCAGGAAGCCGTGGAGCAACTGAAACAAGCACTGACATCCGCACCGGTACTCATCTTGCCAGATCCCGAACGTGACTACGTCATTGAAGCAGACGCCAGTGATCAGGCCGTGGGAGCAGTCTTGATGCAAGACCAGGGGAATGGACTGCAACCAATTGCCTACCTCAGCAAGAAACTACACGGGGCAGAACTCAACTACCCGATACACGACAAAGAGGCTCTTGCTATCGTCATCGCCTTCAAAGCGTGGAGATGCTATCTCGAAGGACGACGAACGACCGTCTACACCGACCACTGCAGCCTGAAATATTTGAAGACACAACCCAACCTTTCCAGGCGGCAGGTCCGGTGGATCGACTTCCTCGAGACACACTTCCACTACGACATCGTGTACAAGCCCGGCCACAAGAACAAAGCAGACGCTCTCAGCCGGCCTGCACACGTTGCCGCGATTCAGATCGAAGGGATGAATCCACTACTCAAGGGACTCTTCACCCACGGGTACGCCATCGACCCCGAAATTCCCTTGGCAGAAAAGCGACATCTGTTACAGTGGGACAATGACATCGCATACCGGAAGGGATCCACAAAAATCTGGGTACCCAATTACCCTCCTTTGCGCCAGTTACTACTCGAAGAATACCACGACGTCCTGTACGCGGGCCACTTCGGTAGCAACAAGACGCTCACCGGTATCGCCAAACACTACTACTGGCCCCATATGGCAGACGACGTCCAGAAATTCGTCACCTCGTGTGATACATGTCAGCGGATGAAGAGCAGCAAGCAGAAAAAGGCGGGACTACTGCAGCCTCTTCCTGTCCCAGAACTACCATGGCAAGTGGTTAGCCTGGACTTCATCACCGGGTTACCACCTACCTCCAGCGGTCATGACGCCATCCTTGTCGTCATTGACAAGTTCTCCAAAATGGGACACTTCATCCCGACACACACGACGGCACGCACCGAGGAGACAGCACAGCTCTTCGTTCGTCACATCATCTCACAGCATGGCATCCCAACTACACTCATCTCCGACCGAGACCCCAAGTTCACTAGCAAGTTCTGGAAGGAACTTATGTCTCTGCTCGGCACCAAACTCGCCATGTCATCCGCATACCATCCGCAGACAGACGGACAGACCGAGCGCCTCAACCAAATTGTTGAGCAACTCCTCCGAGCAGCCTGCAAGGACGACATCTCCAAATGGGACTTGCACCTGCCCGTACTCGAGTTTGCTTACAACAATGCCACACATGCCGCTACTGGACAGACGCCGTTCTTCCTCTGCTACGGACGCCACCCACTCACACCACAAAAACCGACAGCATCACCTACAGTCCAACCCGCACATGATTTCATTACAACCATGCATCAACTTTGGGATCGGACCCATAAGCGCCTCCTTGACATTCAACAGCAACAGAAGCGCCAGGCCGATCGCCATCGCAACGACCACACCATTTCCGAGGGAGACCAGGTGCTTCTTGACACCCGCAACCTGGACATCAGCCACCTCCCATCTAAACTTCGACCTCGCTTCTGCGGGCCTTTTCTCGTTGAAGCACAGGTCACTCCTGTTACCTTCCGCTTACGCCTGCCAGCTACCTGGAAGATTCACAACGCCTTCCATGTCCAACTTTTGAAGCCCTATCGAGATCCTAACACGATCTTCGTGGGACGTCAGCCGCCGCCGCCGCCGCCCGTCCTCGTCCAGAATGAACCCGAGTACGAGGTCGAGTCCGTGCTTGCACATCGTCGTCGTCGGAATGGCACCGTGGAGCTTCTCATCCGTTGGAAGGGTTATGATCCTTCTGAGGACAGCTGGGTACCTGAGTCCGACATGGGTAACGCCCGTCGTCCTCTGCATGACTACCTTGTCAAGCAGGGTGTTACTTCTACCACCCAGCTTTGAGGGGGGGAAGTGTGAGAGTACGACCCCGTTACACCACTTGGCCTTTTCTTATTTCCTTCCCTTTTCATTTCTCGTTTTACCGCATCTCATTTGGTTTCCTATTTTCCATTTTCCATTATCCTTTGGTCTCTTCCTTTATTATAATTATATCACCGACCAGGCATGGAATGTACTAGAGACGTTATCCAGCGTAATCCTGCCGTAATCCCTTAAAGCCAATAGCCTCACGTGGCTATATGCAGGGTGATTCTATCTTCTAGAAGGGTCTATTCCCTTAGGATAAGATAAACCTGGTTACCTGATGTACTCTGGAAGTATAAAAGCGCCTTGTACTGATCGATAGTGCAACCTTTCCTCGACACATTCGATCCTGTGACACCGACCCCTCGCACCTACGCTGAGGCTACCTCAGGACCCTGGGCCTCTCAGTGGATAGCTACCATGGAGCAGGAGATGGCATCTTGGAGATCCACCGGCACCTACGTCTACGCAGTGCCCCACCTAGGGTGAACGTAGTCGATGGCCGCTGGCCCTTCAAGGTGAAGCACCCACCTAGAGAGCCGCCTGTATTCAAGGCGCGCTACATGGCTAGAGGCTTCAGTCAACGTGAGGGGGTGGACTTCTTTTAGACCTTCGCCCCAACCCTTGGAGATGACTACTCTTTGAGCGCTGCTACACGTAGCAGCACAGCGTGACTACGAGTTACACTCCCTCGAGTTCTCCACCGCTTTTCTTCAGGGCAGCCTACACGAGCAAGTCTACTAGCGCCGCCCTCAGGGCTTTACTAGTACCTTCCCTCTTGGGACCCAGTGGCTACTGCGGCGCCCAGTCTACAGCCTGCGGCACGCGCCCCGTGAGTGGCAGGACACGCTACATGCTACCTCAGCTGACCTGCACTTCTTTCCGTCCTCTGCCGACCCCTCGCTCTTCGTTCGTGCTGGCCAGACCCCGTTCTACATCCTTGTTTACGTAGACGACCTGGTCTTCGCTACTGCAGACAGTGACGCTCTGGCCTCCGTGAAGGCAGAGCTGCTGAAGAAACACACCTGCACTGACCTAGGAGAACTGCGCCACTATCTTGGCCTGCAAATCTCTAGGGACAGAGCAGCGCGCACCATCACTCTCTCACAGTCACACTTGGTGCGCCACGTCCTTCAGCAGTTCGGTCTTCAGTTCTCCTCCGCACAGCCCACACCTCTGTCAGTAGACCACATGCTCTCAGCTCCTGTTCCTGAGGAGTTAGTAGAGTGGTCCTTATGCAGAGTTGGTGGGTTGCCTCATGTACCTAATGACTTGCACTCGCCCAGATCTTGCATACCCTCTCAGCATCCTTACTCGCTTTGTGGCCACAGGCAGACACCGACCACAGCACTGGTCGGCCGCTAAGAGGGTTTTGCGTTATCTTGCAAATACATCGGGCATGGGGCTAGTGCTAGGAGGACGCAGGCCAGTGGTCCTTAGTGGGCACACAGACGCTTCTTGGGCAGACAACGCTGAGACCCTCAGGTCCTCCTAGGGCTACTGCTTTACCCTTCGTTCAGGTGCTGTTTCGTGGAGAGCTACCCGCTCCTCGTCTGTTGCCCTGTCTAGCTGTGAGGCTGAGATCTACGCCGGTGCCATGGCGGCACAGGAGCTCCGCTGGCTGACCTTCTTGCTCACCGACTTAGGTGAGCGGCCTAGCTCTGCCCCGGTCCTGTACGCTGACAACAGGGCCATGATCCTCCTGTGCTAGGAGCCTCGACTTGAGGGCAGAGCGAAGCACATCCAGCTGCGGTACTTCCTCCTGCGCAAGCTACAGCAGCGCCGCCAGGCACGCATAGTACACTTGGCCTCCGGTGCCAACACGGCTGATATCTTTGTGAAGGCGCTTGCGCCTAAAGGTCATTAGCGGCACTGTGTATAGCTTTGTCTTGATTGTAGCCTCTCATTTGCTAGGGCCTTGATTGTGTACAGACCTTTATATATATATTACCCTGACTGGCCTTGTGGCCTCTCCCAGTGGCTGGACTAGTAGTGCCGCCCTGGTCTTGCTCTTGCCTTGGTCTGTACTCGTTTGATTGGTCTTTAGACCCTTGCCTCAGAGGCTGGACTAGTAGTGCCACCCTGAGCTGCTTGTTCTCTCGTCAGGCAATGTCCCAGGGGGTGTGTCAAACATATCTTAGTATGTTATTGTAGACTGTATAGGGTTGTGCCTTCGAGGGTACAACTCACTAGGTTATATCCCCTTGTACTCACCCGTTCTAGTTATTTTCTAGCATTCGAACACATGGTACATCTTTCAACAAATGTAGCATTAGAAGAACCTTGCTTTTGTTCAAATGATTTCATGTGATATTGGCTCAAACGTACCAGAGCCAGAGTCCAGACAGAATTAATATTGAATTTAGGTACATGCATATTGACAACATCAATACTGTACAGCAAGACAAACATGCGCACGGGAATTGAAGCATGGCAATCATGACTGCAAGGCTGTTGTTGTGGGAGGTCCAGGGCTTAGCAGGAGCTCAGATCAGATGGCAGGATGGCGACAGGGGGTGAGCATTCTTAGCCTCCACGGCGGCAGCAGGAGGAGGGGGCGTCTTGAGACTGCTTGATTACGGCGGGGCTCTCCTTGTCCACGGCACCAGACAGCAACGCCTGCAGCACCTGCTGCTGCCCTGATGCCGTGTCGCACTCGTAGGAGAAGACCACGGGGTCCGGCTTAGCGGTGCCTGTGCAGGGGCTGGAGGGAGGGGCGAAAGGGGTGGGGGAATGAGGATAGAGGGGAGGGGAGAAGGGGTGAGAGTGGAAATAGCATCAGATAAAGGGAGCAGCAATGTTCTTCAGAGCTGTCATAGTTTTTCTCCTGGTCGATCGATCATCAGGCTGTTGGAGCATCTGAAATCACAGGCTTTGTCTTGGGGGGTTGGCAGCAGGCAGCCCAGGGAGTGCACAAGAAATGACATGTGCAAGCAGAGGGCAAGAGAACACAAACCGGCGCTGAGAGCATGTCAGCAGAGTGACAGACAGCATGAAATGAAAGGAGGAAATCACACCGGGGGAGGGAGAGTGCATAAAGTTCGTACCGCCATGCCGCATTATCTGTGATCTTGGGGGCCCACTGGAAGCTGTCATCAGCAGGCGCCTTCACTCTCACTGTCACCGGACCGCCACACCCCGCTCCTTGTCCCCCACCCGCCCCATCCCCAAAGTGAATCCACACGCGCGCCGGCTGCCAGTCCTCCTCCCCGTTGGGCCCCACAATGCGCACCTCATACACCTCCCCTACGAGCGCATTGAACCCAAACAGCCGTTCCGCCCTCCCCCCCTCCTCCAACTCAATCCGGTCCAGATTCCCATCGAATGTCTGCCACCTCCCGTCCCTCACGCGAACCACCTTGATAAAGCTCATGGCCCCGTGGCCCTGATGGTCGTTGCCCACGTTGGCAGCAGTGGCAGGCTCGTAGTACCGCAGGTTGACGGTGCGGAAGCAGTGGGCGGGCGCGGGGCACGCAAAGGCGTTGGCGCCGGGGAGCGGCTTGCAGGAGCCGAAGGAGCCGGAGGGGGTGCGCGGAGGGAGGAGGTTGGGGTTGTTGGCCACCAGGAAGCCTTTGAGGGGAGCAGCGGCTATCTGTGACGCTGTGGCGAGAGGGGACGAGGTGGAAGAGGAGGAGGGGTAACGGGCAAGAGAGCGGACGGCAGATGCATGCTTGCCAAGGGAAGTGAGGGAGTGCCGGGGCGAGAGGGGCTTGTTATGGTGCTGGCTACGCCTCTGACTGCGGCTGTAGCTTGCGCGGGCTCTTCTAAGGGCAGAGGATCCAGCAACCGCAGCACCAGAAGCAGCAGCAGAAGCAGTGGGAGCAGCAAGGTGGCGGCGGTGCGAATGCACAGCTGGCTGGGCTGCTGCTTTTCGTGTGCGGGCACGCTTGCCAACAGAGGCAGAGCCAGCAGTAGTCGGCATAGCAGAGACAGCAGCAGCAGCAGTGCGAGTATCCGCAAGGAAAGCACCGACAATGCTGCCATCGCTGTCCCTCAGAGCTGCCTGTGTGGCCGCCTCCCCTTGGTCCTCTGTCTTTGACTGGTCGAACTGCAAAGGGCGTGAGAGTAGACAGGGGACTGGTGTGGAGAAATTAGCGCTCATTGTCCTCTGCCTCGGCCTTGGCTGAGAATAGAAGGGGAGCGGTTCAATTCCCGCCTGGTTACCTTCACTCGTTGACAGGAAAAGTTAAGTAGGGGATGGGAGCGGAAGAGGGATACTGCCATTGTGGTGGCAGGAGGGAAAGGGGAGTTGATGGGCACAATGAAAAGGCCAGGAAGCTTAGCTTAGCTGAGCAGCAGCAGCAGCAGACGTTACGACTGGAGGCAATCTTCTGACAAACAGCCACTCACCCGGTCTGGAAATTTCCGAGGTGTGACGAAGACGGGGTTGGTGCGCACTTGCTTGCTGAACTTGACGTTCTGAGAAGCAGGGAGGGGGAGGGGGGGAAGGTAAGGGGCAGAGTGTGTGTGCGCGTGTGGGTCAGTGAGTGTGTGTGAGTGTGTGTGTGCGAGTGCATGTGCGTGTGTGGGAAATAAAACGATAATGGGTGAGAAAGGCACACCTTGAAGCTGTTGCCTGCATTCCAGTACGTGCCCATGCCGCCCGCAGCAGCCACAGCAGCAGAGGGCGTGCAGGCGTTGTCAAAGCCAGCGAACCTGCAAGGAGGGGCGTTGGGGAGGGAAGCAAGGAGAGGTGAGGGGAAGCTGATTCTGAGTCAATCTGCCGGGTCCCAACGGCCACAGCAGCAGAGGGCACGCAGGCGTTGTCAAAGGCAGCGAACCTGCAAGAGGGGTGCGGAGGAAGGAAGGTGGGGGTGGGGGGGTTTGGGGGGAGGAAGTGGGGGGGGGGGGGGGGGGGGGGGGGGGGGTTGTTCTTACACCCTATGCCTATACATGGTTATGTCGCATCGCATGGGCCATGACACACCCCAGACAACCTACAACCCAAGCAGACTCACTTGGCGCCATCCACCACGTTGCTGGCGAGCCCGTCGGTGAACCAGGGGCTCTGAGTCCACACCAGCCCGTACACTGGCTCGTCCTTGCCCCCCCACCCCACACTGCGCCCCTGCTGGTTCTCTGCCAATGGAAATCTGCCATATGGACGGGGAGGAGGGGAAGGACGGGAGGGGCAGAAAGGCGGGGCGGGGGGGAAGGAGAAGGGGAGAAGAGGAGGACAGGAGAGCGGAAAGGAGAGAGATTTAGGAGCAATGGAGGCAGACACAAGGAGGGCCACTTCTCCAGGAACAAAGCAGAGTTGTTCGACGACCAGCTTGCAGCCATTAGCCCACTCACTTTCAGCCGTTAGCCCACACACTTTCAGCCATTAGCCCACACACTTTCAGCCGTTAGCCCACTCACTAGCAGCACTTAGCCACTCACTTGCAGCCGTCAGACCACTCACTTGCAGCCGTCAGACCACTCACTTGCAGCCGGAGACGGGGGCGCAGGTCTCCCAGCCATAGTCCTCAGTGCAGTCCTCGGGGTTGCCGTAGTTGCGGGTCTGCCCCACCGCCCTCAGGTTGCGCAGCACGATGCCCTCCACCAGGTGCATCTCCACGCCCCACATGTTGTCCGCCGCTGTGAACCCCTCAAACACCACGTGGTCCGTGTTGTGGATGAACGCGCTGGTGTGGGGGGAAGAGGGGGCGAGCATGTGGAAGGAGTGTGTGTTTGGTTGTCCGCTGCTGTGAACCCATACAACACCTCGTGGTCCGTGTTGTGGATGAAGGCGCTGGTGGGGGGGGGGAGAGGGGGTGGGAGAGGGGGTGGGTGAGAGGGTGGGAACGGGTGTGGGAGAGGGGATTATGGTAAGGAGAGGGGGCTGTAGAGATGAGGTTCGGTAAAGAAAAGTGAGCGAAAATTAAGGACCAGCAAGATGAAGGGGAAGTAGGGTAGAGGAGAGCCGGCAGGTGATAGGAAGGAGGGTAGGAGAGCACGAGGAACATGAGCAACTTACCCTGAATCGAAATTCTTGAAGAGGAGGAAATCCGATATAGTCACCCACACAGGATTATCCCACTGGAACGAGGGAAAAGATTGGAGAAAGAAAAAGACTTGAGAGATACGACGAATGCACATGACATGCAATGGATGTTTTGAGTAGCCCAACATAGAACTGTGGTGCATGCAAAGGGCAGATGGCATGCAAAGGGCAGATGGCATGCAAAGGGCGGATGTCATGCAAAGGGCGGATGGCATGCAAAGGGCAAATGGCGGATGGCATGCAAAGGGCAGATGGCGGATGGCATGCACAGGGATGATGCGGAAGCTGGAGAGAGTTAAGATATGGAGGGGAACCAAATCAAAAGGCACGTGTAGCAGCCCTTTTGGGTTTCTCACAACCATAGGAGGGGGTATACGATAAATGAGGGAGGATAGATAGTGTGTGGGAGGGGGGTGGGAGGCCCATGCTTCATGTCAAGTACACCCATACCCATCTTGATGCAAGCACGCACGCACGCGCAGACCCATGCACACACACATGCACATACAAGCACACATCAACACACCATGAAGAAAATTCATCTAAGCAAAGAAAAGGAGCAGCTGACTCACATAGTCCTCGTCCTCATCCAGTGTGGACGCATTATAACGCGGATAGAACCCCCCCGGGTAGTTCCGAAAGCCGTTGCCAGAGGAGTGGGCGACGTTGCCCTTGAACGTGCCGACACGATGGTAGCTGAGGGGAATGAGCTTGTTGATCAGCGGCCACTGCAGCGACAGCCCCCTCACTCCGTCCCTCAGCTCCAGCCAGAAACTAATGGTTTGGGAGAGGGGAGAGAGATTGGGAAATATAACCGGGGAGGGGAGACATTGAGGGGGATGGGTGTCTCGATGAGGGGAGACATTGAGGGGGATGGGTGTCTCGATGAGGGGAGACATTGAGGGGGATGGGTGTCTCGATGAGGGGAGACATTGAGGGGGATGGGTGTCTCGATGAGGGGAGAGAGAGGGCGGAAGGAGAGGGAGAGGGAAGGGGAGAATGAGAGGAGGCGAAGACAGGGAAGACTAAAGAAGGTGCGATGCAGCCAGAGCAAACCAAGCCATACCAAAACCTACCCGGTGTCCTCTGACCCGGCCGCCACATTCCCAATGTAGTTGTTGTTGGCGTTGCTGATCCAAAACGTGGACGGCTCGTCGTCCGTCTCCTCCGGTGAGATCTTCACCACCGCTGCTCGCATGAATGCACACACCCATAGCCAGGCGTACACGCATGCACACACAGACACGCACAGCCATATGCAAGGGAGGGGATTCAGGATTCGGTGGGGAAGGTGTTGCGTAGAGGAGTTGGGGAGACAGGTGTTGCTCATGGATACCCAAAGTACTTGTTAGGCGCCTCAAAAGCAGGTACATCCACACACCCACCTGGGCGCGTCCAGATGCCGACGTTTCTGATGAAGCTGTTGCCCTGCTCGCCGCCCTCCTCCACCATGAAGCAGTGCCCCCTCGTGTTGAACGCCACGTTCTCCTCCACCGTGAGGTTGAACGTGGCGTGCACCACCACACACCGCTGCTTGCTGTCGTGCATCACGTTCTTCCGCACCACGCTGCGCCCCGCCTGGTTCCCGCACAGGTGGAAGTGGATGTTGTAGCGCCCCAGCTGCCCCTGCTGCCCCATCTGGGCGAACTCCACCCCTTCGATCATTTGGGCTGCCCGCGTGAAGAAGACCATGAAGTGGCCGCCCTCCCACTGGGTCGGGGCGCGCTCGTCCTCCCCTCGGATGACCACGGTCCGGTTCAGCAGCACCACGCTGCCGCGCTCGTCGATGGTGCCGCCGAACCCGTCTGGGACGAACTCGCCAAAGTGGTTGTACGCCAGGGGCCGGGTGAGCGTGATGCGCGACTTGCCGCCGGGCAGGGGGGAGACTGGGAGGGGCACGGTGGGGAAGGAGAAATAGGAGCAGCAGAGTCCACATGGTGAGCATGACGAACCCTCATAGACCTACATTAAACCCATGTGATGGAAAGTTGCCAGCAGCAAGCACCACATCGATTCTGAGGAGAGCACTCCGTCGGTTCGTACGAGAGACCGACATGACCACTCGTCGTTCGAGTGTCTCACAACTCACCATCGGCAATGGCAGCAGCGTCCACCTCGTCGGCGTAGAAGTCAGTGGCAGAGAGCCCCACATGGAAGCCCTTGGGCCACGCGCTCACGTCCTGGTCCACCACGATGCTGCGGTCACCTGCCCGCGCTGACGCTGCCAGGCGGCACCACGAGGGCGTGGAGGAGCCCCCAGGCATCCCATGCAGGCGCACCTGCCCGCCCACCTGGGGTCGGGAAAGTAGGAGGAACAGGATCAGGAATTTCAGAAGCAGGTGTAAGAGAATTGGGGGGGGCATGGTAGTGTATCCAGACCCCACGCCCCATAGACGACAAACCACAGACGACAGACCACAGACCACCGACCACAGCCTGAAGTTAGTCATTGCCGCCTAAAAAACACGTCGCAGAGGTGCCTCAAAACTGCCCACAACACGCAGCACATAGCCCACAGCCTGCAGCACGCAGCCCACAGCACGCACCACAACGAAGGCCTTGTGGCCGAAATTCCTGGGGTTGCTGGCATCGGCGGGCGCATTGGCGGTGTAAAGGTAGTTGTTGCGGCCGTTGGGGTTGGGCGTGAGCGTGAAGACGGCCTTCTGGGAGAAGTGCCTGGCGCTGCTGCCCACCAGCAGCTGCCCCTCCACGATCACAAACGACGCATTCACCGCCACCAGCGGGCGCGAAGGAGTGTCCTCGATCCTGTAAGAGACAGCCAGCAGGGGAGGGGAGGGGAGAGAAAGGAGGGTTTGGGTGTGAGGGAGAAGACGGCCTTGAGAATCTAGGTCAGCAGCTAAGGGTGGCTTTGATTGAGGGTGCGGTGAGGGAGGAAGGATACAGGGGGAGACGGGCACGGATACTTTTGAGTCGACTCAAAAGCAGAGGGTCAGAGAAACGAGGACTACGTCATTGTTGAGAAGCCCTAGAACTCACTTGAGCATCCCCCTTATAGTGAGCGTCGTTAGCACGACAGCAGGCACGTTGAGCAGCACGGCCTGCCCGCAGGGGATGGTGGCATTGGCGCGCTTGGCGCCCCCCAGGCCTGGCACCACGCCGCCAGGCCACGTGGAGGGGTCGCTCCACAGCTTGAAGCCTGTGCGGGGGGAGGCAGGGGGGTTGCATTGAGATCCAATGTGGTGCGGGCCCGAACCTAGGGAAGCCTAGGGAAGCCTGGTGAAGGGTGGGGAGGGACAGAAAAGGCTAGGTAAGGACAGAATAGGCTGGGGAAGGATAGAAACGGCAACCGGAGGGGGAAGGAGGGAGGGAAAGGGGGGGGGGGGGGGGGGGATCGGAGAGGTGAAGCCTGGAAAAGCCTAGGGGAGCCTAGGGGAGCCTAGGCCGCACCGCCTGGGGGAGGGTCGGAGAGGGGCGCGCCGCACGGCGGCTTGAAGCTGTCCCACGGCACTTGCGGCGAGGCGCGCGTTACTGGCAGGCGGTCCGGCGAGAGTAGGAGGCATGCGACGCACGCCGCGGCGAGGAGAAACGGCCGGAGGAGAGGGGAGCCTGGGACGCGGCGGAGAGGGGAGCTTGAGACGCGGGGAGAACGGTCACCGGCGGATGCCATGATGGCGCGTGCGGTTGTTGATGGCTTGCGATTTGGAGGAGGTTGCTAAGCCGATGGGTAGCTAATGCCATGCCTGCTACCGCCAGATTAAATACTAATGCTGCGTCTGTAACGGCGAGCAGACAGGTGGTGCTGCCGGCGAGGACAAGTGACGATTCAGGTAGGGTAGTGCCTGGATTCTGAATGTGGGGGACATTTCGTTCCAAGCCAGCACACACGAACCCACCTGACCGACGGTCAACAGAATTCCAACAGGCCCCACCGACTGGGATTTGAATGAACAGCGAACATACCTCGGTTGCAGATTCCCGGAAAACGGAACTGTCGCTCTGGGATTCCGTTTGTGCGAACCCCCGTCTGATTCTTGGTTACCTCACGAAACGGAACGACCACCGCTTTGTCCTCACGAGTCCTCACGAGTCTCGCGACGTTCGCCACGACTTCGGCGAGACTGAAAATAGGGAGATTCGCTGGCAATCGTTTTTCGTCACTGACCTACGAAATCTGGCGGTCGCTTGAAATCTCGATGCATTTTTCATAACACTGTGCACTGTGCTGTTGCACATTTACGACGCGCTGAAACCTGGAGGAACCACGCCGGAAGCCCACAAACCGTGTTTTCAAACGGAGGGGGAGACACACGTCACTTCCCAAAACTGTGCTCCCAACCAAGGCGAAAGCCGAAATTCGCCCACACAATGTAGTGAAGCGAGTTATATGATATACTCCACGCATCTCTTCATCTTCTCATGTTGTGGAAAGAATGTCGATATGTGTAGGTTTGGTACATCACTAACACACATGAAATGATGCCTTCAAGTAGCGTAAACGCCCGGATAGAAGGGCCCCATGGAATAGAAGACACTATGTCTTGTATTAGGCGTCTATATTGTATTCGGCGTCTTCCTGTATAAGACACTTTTTAAGTCAGTATGAGACCCAAGTAACGTACACTCCCTAAAACCCCGGTTGGTGCTTTCTGCCCACCCACAAAGGGGTCCGTTTTTTAAGAAAATTCCCCATTTATAAGAAACCTAGACCCCCTGATTTTCTCCGTTTATAAGAAATGTTGGGCTGAGAAAAGCCCTTAGGATCTTTTGCAGAGACTAAGTCCCAGCTGTAGAGACTTTGAGACTTGAGTAGTGCAGCGGAAGTTTGAGACAGTTGAACCCTTGTGCTAGTATGTGAGAACAAGTGATTGATTAAAGAGACAAGCATACAGCAATATATAGAAGATAAGAAAACAGTTGTAGAGTACAGTTGCAGTAGCGGTTTATCGAGTCGCACAGCGACTCGATTGTCGCTTCGGTTACCATCCGCGCTGTTGTAACGGTCAGTCGCAACCTCCAGTTGCGACCCTTTGAGTCCCAGACCCTTCGTGTTCTTTGTCCGCCCCCTCGTGTAACCTCCGTTGACTCGCGTACCCCTTGTAGTCTTCCTCGAGTGTAGTGTTACACTTCAGAAACGCTCAAGTCTTTTGAGGTACTTTCAACACTCCCCTTCGTTTCTGGAGTGCTGACTTGTTCAGATCCGGTGACGTTTGTCTGCCCGGTCAACAGCATGCAGTGGTCGAATTTTGTCTTCGCCAATTTCTTCGTCAAATAGTCTGCGGCCATTTCTGTCGTCGGGCAGTAACTGAGTTGAAGTCTCCCCTTCGCGATTTCATCCTTGACGAAGAAGTACCGTAGGGCGATGTGCTTGGTTCGGTTGGCGAAGCCATCCTTGTTCGCGATTTTGATCGCAGATTGGTTGTCGCAGAGGAGTGAGAAGGCGGGTAGGGTCGCGATCTTCGCTTCCTCGAGTAACTCCCGTAGGTAGAGTCCTTCCTTGGTTGCAGTACAAAGGGCGACATACTCTGCTTCGGCTGAGGATAGTGCGATTAACTCCTGTTTGCTCGACTGCCAGGAGATAGTTCCGATAGGTTCTAGTCGGTAGATGTAGCCCGTCCTAGACCGTCGATTTTCGCTGTCTCCCGCGTGGTCGGCGTCGACGTATCCGAGTAGTCGTACGGACGGTGTTGTTGCCTTGCTGTAGGTGAGCCCGATCGTCGGCGTGGAGACGAAGTAGAGTAGCGCTCGATTGAGTTCTTCGAGATCTTCCTGTTGCGGCTGCTTCAGATGTGTCGCCAGCTGACTCGCACTATAGGATAGGTCGGGTCGGCAGGTTACTGCTGCGAATAGTAGGCAGCCGAGCTTCTGTTGATACTCCTGGATTTGTTTCGCGGGGAGTTTTGTGGAGGCGCTACTGTTGTTCCCGTAGCGGTAGGGAGTTGGGACCGCAGTCGGTGCTAGACCGAATTTCTTCGCGACGGTGCTTGAGTACTTTCCAGCGTGTAGGTAGAACGCCGTGTCGTCTTCGACGATGTTCAGTCCTAGGTACTGGGTAACTTCGTCGGACACCGTGAGAGTTAAATCTTCTTTCAGCTCCCCTTCGAACCAGGTGGCGATGTCGATAGTGGAGCCGATGTAGAGCAGGTCGTCGACGTAGACGATGAGCAGAACATAATCTCTTCCCTTCTGCAGTCGGTACATCCCTTGGTCATGCGGTAATTGTAGGAAGCCGATCTTTGCGAGACGGCCGTGGAGATGCTGCTGCCAGAGCCGCGGGGCTTGCTTGATCCCGTATAGGGATTTTGTCAGTCGGCATATTTTCGTGGGATCGTTGATGAATCCGTGGGGTTGTTCGACGAAGATCTCAGCGTCCACAGGTGCGTATAGGAATGCATTCGCGACATCGATTTGGCGTAGTGGCAGTTTTTTCGTGGCCGCGACGGCGAGTAGGATGCGTAATGAGGTGTGACGGGAGACTGGAGCGAAGGTTTCTGTGTAGTCGGCTCCGTATCGTTGATCGAAGCCTCGTACGACCCATCGAGCTTTGAATCGTTCGATGGAACCGTCTGAGTTGGTCTTGATGCGGTACACCCATTTCCCCGAGAGAACGTTTTTCCCGTTGATGCTCGTTGCAGGTACCAGTTTCCATGTTTCTCGGTCTTGCAGAACTTTTAATTCCTTTTCCATTGCTTCCTTCCATCTTGCCTTATGTTCCCCCCCCAGAGCCTGCGACAACGTTGAAGGCTCTCGCGGAGAAGGCGGCGGCGGATTCTGGACGGAGACCCAGAGGCCTAGAATCTGGAGTCCCGTGGGCGTGTGTCGAGGGGAATTTTCATTCCCGGAATAAGCTGCTTCGTCACCGTCTTCGGGGTCAGGTAAGAAATTGGGGCCGATGCGTTCCGAAATATTCGTGTCGACGGGGTGAGGTGTAGCGTAACCTTGGTCGGCGAAGTGGTAAAAGGTGTCGAGGTTGTTGCTATCGAGGGGATTATCTTCATCGAGTGGAACAGGTACGGAACAGAATGGGAGTGGTCCGGCAGCTTCCGAGGCTCCAGGTACGTCTTCTTCTGCTGCGTCAGCCTCGGCAGTATGGTCAGCGAAGGAGCGAAGGCCCGCGAAGCCGTCGGTGGGGTCTTGTGTGTTGGCAAGGTTGTCCAGGTAATGCTGCAGCGTCAGTCGTTCGTAGAAGATAACATCTCGTGATGCCACCGTGTTTTTGTCTTGTATGTCGAGAATTTTCCACGCGTGAAAATGTTTTGCGATGCCGAGGTGTAGTCCCCATCGAGCTCTTGGTGAGAAGCGTCCTGCTCGGGCTGTGTGGGGTCTGTACTGTACCATGCAGCCGAAAACGCGGAGTAATTTTGTGCTGCCCCTTTTTCTTGTCCACAACAGGTGCGGTGATGCGTTGTTGGGAAGTGATGACGAGGACAGCAGGTTGTGCAGGTGAACAGCATGTGTCATCGCGTCTGGCCACAGTGCGTTGGGCAGCCTCATCCCCAGAAGCAGTTTTCGCATCGTCGTCTGCAAGGTCCGGTTCATGCGTTCTGCTACCCCCTGCTGCTGGTGAGCATAGGGCAGAGACACCAGACGTCGGATTCCCCTTTCCGCGAGATAGGTCCTGAAGCGTTGTGACTGGTATTCCAGTGCACCATCTGACTGGAAGCTCTTGAGTTTTGTTCCTGATTCTCGTTCGGCGATGGGAAGCCATGTTGTGAAGGCTTCGAAGGCTTGATCGCGTGTCTTGAGATTGAAGTGCCAGACATATCTGGTTGCGGCGTCGATGAACGTGATGACGTAGTTGAAGTCGGCTTCGGTATCGTCTCGAGGCATGTTTAAGATATCGCTGTAGACCTTTTCCATCGGAGCGTAAGTGGGTGCGCTTGGATTGTGATGGGCTGGGAAAGGTTGATGAGGAAGATCTGCTTCGGGGCATGTGAAGCACCGTGCGCGTGGTCGTCGGAGTTCCTGGCCGCTCGTCGTCAGAAGGGCGTTGCGTTCTAACACCTCTGCTTGGATTGTTTGAAGTATCGTGCTGTTTGCAGGATGTCCGAGACGTTGGTGCCAGATGTCGTCGGGAGCGCGGTGGCCGGGCGAGCGGTGGTAGATGTCGGCGTTGGAGAAGAACGCGACGACCGAGGCGGGACTTCGACAAGCTTCTCGTGTGACGGGCATAAGTTGGTCTGCTTCGGTTGGCGGTCCTCGTGTCGCTGGTGGTGGTACTCGGCTGGGTCCTGCTGCCGATACTGCAGGTGATGGTTTTGTTGGGACGCTTGCGGGTACTTGTCTTTCTTGTTTGATGACTGCTAATGCTCGTGTTCTCTCTGCTGCAGGTATGGTGTTGGAGTGCCAGAAGCCATCACTGTCGAAGTCGGGATCAAGATCCGGCGGGTGAGTCCAGGCGGCGAATGATACGATGCCATCGCTGTCGGCAGTTCCGCGGTCGGGGACGAAGTCCAACACGAAGACGCCGGACTTCAGGAGGGCACGACCGATGAAGAGGCCGCCCTTCCCGTGGTAAAGCCGGAACTCGTTGGAGTAAGAGTCGCACTCCAGGTGAATCCCCTTGGCCATTAGTTGGCTTACGCTTAGTAGGTTGTATCCCAGATTGTCGACAATGAGCACCTTGTTGAGTTGAAGTATGACATTCGTCTCCATGGATTGTAACTGAACCACGCCCTGTCTGTTTGTCTTCAGGTTTTCGTTGTTGGCGACGGTGATGACGACGTCGCGGTTGAGTCGTTTCTCCTGTTGCACGAAGCGTCCCGAGGAGCACATGTGTTGACCGCAGCAGCTGTCCAAGAACCAGGTGTTTCGCCCGGTGGGTTCGGCGTTGGCGACTGCAGCGTATGTCGGGTTGACCTGAAGTCCTTGTGAGCGCGGCGGCGGGAATTCCTCTTCGTCTGGTGCGTAGGTGGGTGGTGAACCGGGTGCGCAGTTGTCGATGTGTACCATGCAGTTGATGATGTTGGGTGTTTGTTGTGCAGATGTTGAAGAGCGCCTTGGAGGACTTGCTTGAGTGGAAGCGACTTGTGGGTCTGCTGCACGGTAAACGCGAGGGCGGTTGCAGTTGACTTTGGAGTGCCCGGAAGTCTGGCAGTTGTGGCAGAACGGCGGCACGATGGTGAGTCCTCGGTTGTCACGTTGATCTTGCTTGCTGCGTCGGTTGTAGTTGTTGTCATTTCTTCGTTGAGTGTAAAAGACTAACTGCTGTTGCTTCCTTGGTTGTCTTTCTTCGAACAGATCCATCTCCTGTTGTTCAGCGTGAAGCTCGGCGCAGAGGTGCATCTCCGAGATCCTTCCGTGGGCGCGAAGAAGCGATCGTGTGGTTCTCCATTCTGGTCCGAGCCCGGCGAGGACAAGTGTCACGAAGCTTTCTTCAGTGATCGTTCCTCCGCACCGAAGCAGGCGGTCGCGGAGAGTCTGACAGCGACTCATATACTGCATCGCCTTTTCCCCGGTCTTCATCTGTATTGTTGTCAGCTGTTGCATGAGTCTGCTTTGTGTCACGCTGTCGTTTGCTTGATAGAGGCATTTGAGATGATGCCATGCGAGTTCCGCGGAGTTTCCATTACTCCGATACGTTCTGATGCTCTGCTGCTCTTGTGGTGACAGGTTTCTCAGGAGTACCGTATACGCCAGCAGCGACTGATACGTGAAGATTTCTTGTTCCTTCCCAGTGCCGTTGCTTGGGAATGGCAGGGACCCGTTGAAGTATCCCAGAAGATGCGCGGCCTCCATCAGCAGCTCGAACTCGAAGCTCCAGGTAAAGAAGTCGTGTCCGTTGAACGGTGATGATGTCTGCAGTTTAATCACGTGTGAAAACTGTGCCTGGAGACTTAAAATCTCGTTTGGTGTTTGTTGTGATGCAGCTGCTGTTGGTTGGGCACGGGGCGGCATGAACTCGAACGTCCCCGGTGAAGAGTGATAAGGCGCAAAGGTAGGCGCTTGATTGTGTCGCCCGAAGGATGAGTTGTCGAGGCTCATCGGCGCTAATCCCATATTCCCTCCATTGCTCTGTGTTGAGTGCGCAGGTGTCCTTGTCTGCTGCTGCTGGTCGAAGTGTGACATGAAGCTGAAGAATCTCTCCATGAGATTCGGGTCCACACTTGAAGAGGGAGACGGGGTCACCATCTCTGGTACTCTTCCCGTTGTTTCTTGAGCAGTCCCGGTCTCTGTCTGCAGTCCTGAGGTGTGCAGACCAGAGTTGCCGTGTTGAGTTTCTTGGGCGCTGGGTGAGCCCGTAGAGACTTTCTTGCCCTTGTTGTCCATGTCTTGTAATCAATGGAGTTGTTGAATCAAGTTGAGTTGCTGGTTGTTGATGGAGTGTAGTTGCTGGGAGTTTTGGTCTCTGACCAGCTCTCATACCATGTTGGGCTGAGAAAAGCCCTTAGGATCTTTTGCAGAGACTAAGTCCCAGCTGTAGAGACTTTGAGACTTGAGTAGTGCAGCGGAAGTTTGAGACAGTTGAACCCTTGTGCTAGTATGTGAGAACAAGTGATTGATTAAAGAGACAAGCATACAGCAATATATAGAAGATAAGAAAACAGTTGTAGAGTACAGTTGCAGTAGCGGTTTATCGAGTCGCACAGCGACTCGATTGTCGCTTCGGTTACCATCCGCGCTGTTGTAACGGTCAGTCGCAACCTCCAGTTGCGACCCTTTGAGTCCCAGACCCTTCGTGTTCTTTGTCCGCCCCCTCGTGTAACCTCCGTTGACTCGCGTACCCCTTGTAGTCTTCCTCGAGTGTAGTGTTACACTTCAGAAACGCTCAAGTCTTTTGAGGTACTTTCAACAAGAAACTTCACGACTTGCTCGGTATATGATAAGACTTAGGGGGGTCTTCTATCCGGGCGTTTACGATAAGCAAACATGTCGTAGGCATATTCTGCCCACCACATATCACACGCGCTTTGCTTTAACAATTGTGCATCGCAATGCATGGGCATATTGGGTTTCTCCTCACCACTCCTCATCGTCGCTCCACTGATTCCTCCCTCCCCTCCTACTCGCCTCCTCATCCACCCCCAGCACCCCCCCAAACCCAATCCCCAGGAACTCCCCTATCTGCCCCACCACCCACTGCTGCTCCACCGGCTTCAGCCCGCCTCCAAAGCGATGCTCCTTCACGCCTTCCGCCAGCTGGCAAACTGCCATTGGCTCGCCGTTTTGGAACTGGAGGGAGGAAGAGGGAGGTAGAGGGGGATGAATGAAGGGAATGAGGGAGAGTGCGTGAGGGTGAGAGAAGAGAGGAATGAAACGTTAGAGAATCTGCCCCATTCAGTGTGGCTCCAAAGCTCGCCCAACCGCCAAGTGATGCTCATCAACTCCCATCAAATCCCTTTCACCCATGCCCTCCCTCCCCCTCCCCCCCTCTCCTCCTCTTCCCCCTCTTCCCCCTCCCCCTGTCCCCTCCCCGTGGCCCCCCTCTCAAACGCCAGGCCCATTCTACAGCGAAAAAAAGCCCATAACACTAATACTCCCGCCTTCTACAAGCACCGCAGCCCATGCTGACTTTTGAGTCGACCCAAAAGTCCAAAGTCGACTCAAAAGTCAACGAGCCCGTAACACGCAGACTCACCCCACTGCAGCCCGTGAAACATTGGCGTATCTGCCCTTCCCCTGTGCGAATTTCTCCCTTCATTCATTCGTCACCCCTCTTTACTACAAGGTGCAGTACCTCTGCAGTCTTCTACACAATGCTCACCCCTTCCACCACCACTGCAGCCCGTGAAACATCAGCGCATCTGCCCCTCTCGGTGTGGCTCCATAGATCGCCCACCCGCCAGGTTATGCTGAAATCCCCTCCAGGCCCTTCCCCCCGGCGGTCAAACACCAGATCCACCGACACTGCGATTGAGGAGACCACCTTTTTGGCCAGGCTGGAAAGCAGAGAGGCAGACGGTTAAGACACAGAGAGAGCGGGGGGGGGTGGGGGAGGAGGGGGATCAGAAGGTGAAGCTCGCCTCCCTGAATGAAGAAGCAAGAGGGGGGGTAAGACAGAGGAAATTCACTCCATGCCCACGAGCCAGAAGGTGATGGAGAATGCAGTGAGGAGAAGCGGAGGGAAGATGGTATGAATGCTGAATAGGACTCGGCACAAGGACCACGGACACACCGATACCCAGCAATCCACTCACTCTCCGCCCACGAGCCAGAAGGGGATGGAGAACGCAGTGAATAGAAGAGGCGCCCCTCCTGTGAGTGCTGAGGCAGTCCAAAAAGCAATGAAGGCATTCCAGGCCTGACGAGGGGGGAGAGGAGAGAGGAGAGGAAGAGGAGAAAAGAGAGAGACAGGAGGGGAACATTGGGACAATCAGACAAGAGGCGCCCCCCCTATGAGTGCCTAGGCGGTCCAAATAGGGATGAGGCGTGAGTGGCAGACAAGGGAAGGCGAGTACATGGAAAGCGAATGGAGGGAGAGAGTAGAGGTGGAGGGATGATACTGGGAGAGAAGTGAGGTGGAGGGACGTGTGCTTGATTGCTGAGAAACGGATCGATATCCAGCAACCAGGCCCAAAACGTGACCAGGTCAACTTCATATCTGCCCTTGCTCATATCAGAAACTGAGAACTTCATTGATGGAATGAGCAAGAGCATACATCCTTAAGTACCTAGCATCGGAGAGGATGGGAAGGGATAAGGGAGAATCGGAGGGAATCCCAAGGGAATCCTCCCAAATCGTGGGGATTTGGGATAGGTTGGGTTGGGATAGGTTGGGGATGAAAACATAGCTACACCCAACCTAACCTATATGCGTATCCCTAAAACCAACAAAGTGCCAACACACAAAGTTGTGCCAACCGAATTGCAGCCAATCTCTAACAGCTCACACTAGCGTACCCTCCGCTTTTGAGTGGACTGAAAGCAAGCAGGTTAAACTCTAACCAGCAAATCTGTTGTTGATCACACTCGCATATCAGCCCATGCCGACTGCCTCCCATGTCAAGACAGCAGGAAGAATGACGTCAGCACTTCCCCACCTTCAGTCACACAACCATCCATCATACAGTTTTGAGGCGCCTCGAAACTAGACTCCATCCATCGTACATGCATTTCGTCGTATGACCGTGCATTCATGCATCAAAGTACTCACTATGGCAAAGCCGCCTGTGCCGACAGCCTCCCGCGTCCAAACCGGCAGGGGGAATGTGAACCACCAGCACCTTTCCACCTTCTGTCCTCTCCAGTACCTGCTCACTCCATCACACACACATACACACACACATACACACACACACACATACACACACACACACACACACACACCACACACACCACACACAAACGAGAAGAGAATGGCTATGCTGCTAATTAGAAGAAGAGACCTAGTTTGAGTGCTCCATAAGAGTCTGTTTTGAGTCGACTCAAAGGAGTGTTTGACTCGGCTCGGAACACACCTTTTAATAAGAAGATGCCCTGTTTGAGTGGCTCCATAAAAGTTACTTATTAGGTTTCTATCACCACTTGCGTACAGGCAGGGTTCGTGAGAGGGGCGATGAGGGTTGGAAGCTTGCAGAAGGGAGGAAGCAAATGCACCTCGATTGGAGAGCCAGTGGTGTTTCAGAACAAGCAGGTCAGAACAGTTGTATTTCTCACCACTTGGGTGCCGGCAGGTCGGGTGAGTGGAGCAGAAGGGGGCAGGAAGGAGGCAGGGAGGTTTTGCAACGGAGCGACAGAGGAAGGTGGCCGCTGCATGAGAGAGGAGGCGCCCTTGGCCTTGTTGAAGCGAGACCCCCCCATGCCAGCAGTGCTCAGAGTGGTTGGGGAAGAGGAGTTCGGTTGCTGCTGCTGCTGCTGCTGCTGCTTGTAGTGGTTCGGCAGGTAACGGTAGAGTGAGGATTCGGCACAGGTCAAAGCGTTGATGACGTCACGAGCAGTCTGCAGGGCGGGCGCCGGGGGGAGGATCGAGAGGAGCAGGGGAGGGGAAACGCAATGAGGGAGAGGCAACTTTGGCCTTGTTGAAGCGGTTGTTGAAGCGAGACCCCCCATGCCAGCAGTGCTCAGAGTGGTTGGGGAAGAGGGGGGAAATGGTTGCTGCTGCTGCTGTAGCTGCTGCTTGTAGTGGCGTGGGAGGTAGCGGTGGAGAAAGGATTCAGCACATGTCAAGGCGTTGATGACGTCACGAGCAGTCTGTGGGGCGGGGGGGGATCAGGAGGAGCAGGGGAGGAGAGCAATGGGGGAGAGGCGCCTGGCATTGTTGAGGTGAGAGCCCTCCATGCCAGCAATGCTCGGACTGGTTGGGGAAGAAATGGATATTCGCTGCTGCTGCTGCTGCTGCCTGTGGTGGCTTGGGAGGTAGCGGTAGAGCAAAGACTCACCGCAGCTCAACGCACCGATGACTTCACGAGCAGTCTGCGGGGAAAGGGGGAGATGGGAGGGAGCAGGGGAGATGGGAGGGAGCAGGGAGATGGGCAATGCAGGAAAGGAGGTAACTTTAAGTCGGCTCAAGATCCCAAGCACGAACAGTCCCCCAGCGGATTGAGAGCAGAAGTTGCAGCAGAAGGGGGATGTGGAGGGTTGTGGATGGAAGAGGCACGTTAAGAGATTCTCTACGGTGAGCAAAAGTGACTGTTTTTAACACCGATAGTATGGACATTTTCAGATACCCGCGAGCTCATAGGCGAGCTTGTTGTAAGTCTCACAGTGAACGTGTCCTCTGGAGCCAGCATGAGCAGACAGTCCAGCACCATGGTTAAAGGCAGCTCAAAGTGAGGCAAACCTAAGGTTCAAGACCCTTTGAGCAATCCCAAAACTCACCTTCGTCCTCTCCTCTCCTCATCTGGAACCAGCCCTCTGGTGCAGGCATGAGCAGACAGTCCGGCATATGCGTTATACAAACAACATTCTAGCAGTCTACACAGGCACGAATAAGATGTCCCCCTTTAAGTCAACTCATGACTCACCTTAAATCTGTCCTCTGGTGCGGGCATGAGCAGGCAGTCCAGCACAGTGGCTAGGCGGGGGATACGGAGGGGCCGAGAGACGACTGGAAGTCAATCTTGAGGCGATTCTGGGGGAAGAGAGAGGGGAGATAGGAAGATCGGACGTACAGAGGAAACACAGAGGAAACGCAGAGGAAACACAGAGGAAACACAGAGGAAACACAGAGGAACGCAGAGGAAACACAGAGGAAACACAGAGGAAACGCAGAGGAAACGCAAAGGAATGGGCACGCAGCGAGCTAATGATGGGTTCAGAAGTAGGGTGAGATGGAGGGGCCGAGAGAGGAGGCTAGGCGGGGTGAGATGGAGGGGCCGAGAGAGGAGACAAGCAGCGGAGCAGAGAGGAGTAGAGAGGAGGGGAAACGAGGGGAGAGGAGGGGAGAGGAGGGGAGAGTTGGGGAGAGGTGGAGAGGAGGAGAGAGGGGGGAAGAGAAGGGGAGAGAAGGGAAGAGAAGGGGAGAGAAGGGGAGAGAAGGGGAGAGAAGGGGAGAGGGGAAGAGAGAAAGTCAGATACCTGGGGAAACGCAGAAGGAGGTCGGCCCGATAGCAGGAAGAGCAGAGTGCACCCAGGGAGTAGAGGTCCGACTGTGAGGTCGCCCGGTTCTGAAACTGCTCTGGCGCCATGTAGCCGTACTGGGTCGGTTGACACAGGGGGAAGTGGCGCATGTAGGGGATGGGAGGGGGATGGGGGGGGGAGGGTAGGGGGATGGGTGGGGGGGGTTGTGGGGGGGGATGGGAACGGGGATGGAGAGGGGATGGGAGGGGAGAGGGGGAAAGGGTTTGGGAGAACAGCAGAGTGACCCCAAAGGAGAGTAGAGGTTCGACTGACTGTGAGGTTGCCCGGTTCTGAAACTGCTCCGGCTGGGGCCATGTAGCCGTACTGGGGGGGGGGGGAGGTTTGGTGGGGAGGGGTGTTGGTGAGGAAGCAAAAACTCAAGAGGAAACAAAAACTCAAGAGGAAACAAAAAACTCACATTCAAGGACGAATGGAGGAAGGACGTTGGATGATCAACGCGAGTTGATCTCAAGAGAGGAAAAAAGGCCCACCTCGCTTAGAGATTTTTTAATTTTCTCAAAAAAACACCCACAGCATGCAAATGCAGCTGCCCTCATAACAATCTCAACCAACTACAGTCACAACTCACTACGTTCTCTACTCAATAATCCAATGCACTGTGCGACATATGTGCTGCCCAGAAAGCGCACCCCGTGCAGAAACAGCAGTGTCCTGCACCATCCAAAGTCAGCCCTGAGTGCATTACAACCCAGCACCTATGTTGGAAAAAACGCAAATTTCAGTTTGCGTTTTGCGTTTAACGCGAGCAAAATTCGTACGCTGCGTTTTGGGTGTAGATTCGCCAAAATACGCACGGGCTGACCGCAAAGAAAACCAAATTCCCGCGACAGTTCGCGACGGGGCGAAACTATTCGGGGGTTTCGCACATCGCGAAATCAACATCAAATTTCGAATTCAAAGCCAGGCGCACCAAACCCCCTATCACACCGCTAACCACCCCACTCCACCCGTCATTCCCACACTCTCCCAACCCAAATGTCCAACTCCCTTTTCCCCTAACAGAGTACGCTTTCCAAGCATAAAGAGCAGCCATTCTAGCATTTCGAACTCATTCTCTTCTCTAGCTTCCCCTTCCGTCTCCAGCATGGCCTCCACGCCTAGACCCACTCCGTCTTCCCCTTCAGCTGCGGCAGCCCCTGTTTCCGCGGAGGCTTCTACTAGCAGCACACTCTTTTGCCCCGACAGCACGCATGTCGTGTTCCGCCACTTCAACGTCCCAATCGACGACTCAAGCGATAGCGCGACGAAGATCTGCAAGTATTGAGTTCAAGTTCGTCGGCGGCATGTACCGCTGCGCTCAACACATCACCAGCTGGTCCGGCATGAGACGTCGCGAAGTGCGGCTCTGCCCCTCGGCTCCCAAGTCTGCCCGTGACGCCGTGAAGACTTCGTACAATTCGAAGCTGCAGGCGCGCGAACGAAAGCGCGCGGCGGAGGCAGCCGCACTCGGTGCGGTGCGCGGCGCTGCTCGCGATGGCGAAGGGAAGAGGTCCCGCATCACCGACTTCTTCGGCGACGAAGGGACATGCGCGAAGGAGGCGGCAGACGAAGCGCTTTGCCTGCTCTTCGCCGGCCTTCGACTTCCCGAGCATCACGCAGACCACCCTCTTTGGAGGAACGCCGTTAGCTGCATCGCTCGCGCGGGCGCGACGTACGTTCCTCCGAAGCGCCGTTACATCGGAGGGGCGGGCTTGCAGAAGTGCCGCAAGCGCATCGCGGCGGCCTTGGCGCCGATTGCCGCGAGCTGGCGCCGCGACGGGTCACCATCGCGTCGGACATGATGACCGACGGCTGCGGACGCCCCCAAGCGAACATTCTTCTCATCAACGACTCGGGAGCCGTTTTCACCGAGTCGATTGATACGAGAATGGAGTCGAAGACGGGCGGCTACATCGCGAGCCTCCTCCGCCCGATCCTGAGGAGGGTCGGGCCCGACAACGTCGTGGCCCTTTGCATGGATGGCGGCTCAAACTATGCCGTGGCATGCCGGGAGCTCGTGGCGGAATTCCCGCACATCGAGACCGTCCCCTGCGCCACCCACGTTCTCGACCTTCTCATGGAAGATGTCGGGAAGATGACGTGGCGAAGGACGTGGTGGACACGGCGTCTGACATGATCAACTTCGTCCGCGCCCACCACTTCACCCGCGGCTACCTGAGGAGCAAACACGTCAACGGCGGCAAGGGGCGCAGGTCCTCAAGCCAGCGGGCACGCGGTTCGGACACAATTCATCGCTGTGTCCCGACTGTGCGACGTTCGGCTCAGCCTTGTTCAGATGGTCCTGAGCGAGGAGTGGAGAGGGTGGGCGGTGGGGGGGGAAGGTGTGGTGAGATGTTCAAGGCACAAGTGATGGACGCCTTGTGGTGGCAGCTGGCGGAGTTTTTCATCAAGCTGCTGGAGAAACCCTTCATCGTCATGCGAGCCACCGATGCCACGGCAAAGGGCATGATGGGCCGCATGTACGACACCATGCTCCAGCTCACCGAGGACGTCTCGGATTTCCTCGACGAGCATGCGGAGGGAGGCTCACAAGGGAGAGGTGGCGGAGGTGAATAAAATTGTGAAAAATCGATGGGATGGGGGGCTCGCCTGCCCCATGCACGTGGTTGGCCGGATCCTAAATCCGGCCAACAAGAGGAGGCATTTTCCGCACCGACATCGAGTGCACCCGCGTCTTCAAGTCGTACATCTCCCGCCACTACGACCACCTCACCATCACCCGCAGGGATGGCGAGGAGCGCCGTGCCTCCCTTGTGCTTCAGGAAGGCTTAACGGCCTTCCTGAACCTGCAAGGGAGCTTCGGCCTCCCTGCTGCCATTGCGGACCGCGAGGCTGTGAAGGAGGGGAGGCAGAGTGTCCGTGCAGTGGTGGAACTGGCACGGCACGGACTTTCCCGAGCTCGCCACGCTTGCGTGCCGCGTCCTCACACAGCCCGTGTCGGCGGCAGCATGCGAGCGCAACTGGGCCGTGTGGGAGTCGGTCCACACGGCCAAGCGCAACCGCTTGGGGTCGGAGAAGCTCAAACGATCTCGTGTACGTTGCGCACAACTGGAAAGTTGTGCACAACTGGCACTCGGTCGCGGAGGGGCAGGGGGTGGTCAGCGGGAATATTGAGGAGCCCCCCATTCCGGAGGGGTACATCGAGCAGGAGGAGGGGACGAAGAGGAGGGGAGGATGCTGTGCTTGCCGATGAGTACGAGTAGAGCTGACTGACCTGCGGAGGAGGAGGTGGGGAGGGGTGGAGTAGTGGGGGGGGGAGTAGTGGAAGGGGGCTGCAGGGAAGGTGTTGTGGAAGGGGGTGCATAGGAGGTTAG